CCTTGCAACCGTTGTCAGGTTGATGTGGGATCGAAATCAATACGTTTTGACTTGTAAGTTACGGGATAATGGTATGCTAAGTCCAAAACAGTTGCGAAGACAAAGGCGGGTTCTTATAAAAATGAACAAGAAGTGCTGTAAAAATCTTTCGATAGAACAGTACGAGTAGGTTTCACAACTTTGTTATTTATTGCTGAAATAAAAATATATAAAAGATAACTTTATTATCAGAGAATAAGTAACAGCTTTATTCTTATTGGAAGAAAGATGTGTTTGTTACTTTGGTAAAATACTACAGCGGTTTATGCCAGTGTCACGTTCATACGAACATGTCGTAGCCAAAAATCAAAGGAACAAAAGCAATTTTGGCGCACTTTATAGGATTCCCTGCATGAAATACCTTTTTGTTTCTTTTTTAATTATTTTTTTGGCCGGCAGCACACTTTACCACTTACTTACATAAAACTCTAGCGGTCGTTGTGGTTACATAATTTTAGAACAGTAACACAAGTACTAAATAAGAAAATATGTACCAGGGCAGATATGTACCATCCTAGACTGCATCTCACTTAACACCTGTCCAGGTGCGATTGCGGTCAAATACCTGCCTTGGCTAGCATAAAAAAAAAATCATCGAATTTAAGTAGAGATGTACGTATGTAATATAAACGAAATCAGTTTATTCTCTAAACCTTATGCAAAATCACATATCTAATGGTACGAGTACAAGCCTTCACCAAAACCGTAAAACAATTGAAAAAAAAAACAACATTAAACGTTACAGATTTCCTTTGTACCCAATTTGTTGGTCCTTGCCTTTTTAATCTTGCCGAGATATTGCATGACAACCGACTGTACTCTATTATCCGGTCTGCATTCTTATTGTCTGAATATTAAAAACCCGAGTCAATACAAACTGACTCTTATCCTTTTGCAACTGAAGGTACTTAATAATTTGCCGCGCATCGCTTGATATCATTCTGTTATGTACGGTCATGTTAGGTCGAGTAATTGCTTCGCTACAGAAAAGGCTGGGAGAGTCACGTCCGATGGCGTACGATTTGATAATCAGATTTATTTCGCTTACAACTCGACTTTTTTGTCGGCGGGCGGAATGAATCAACGTGGGCAGGTCTGTTATGAAAAATTGTTGGGCATTCAGTTCTTGTTGTGGCGTTTTGTACGTCCGGAGGTGTGAATAATTGATGATGGAGGTTTATTATGTTTGTACGGGGAAGAATATTGAAGTAAATAGTTAATTTTGTGTAGATATTTACATGGAAAATTTTCTGTGAAAAACTGTGTATTTTTCTTTTCGATCACAACGATCAGAATCTTAATAAAATCAATGTTTATTGTGTGGTGTAATGGGACGTATTTATCTATCTTTGAATACCGTCGTTGCTGCTTGTAGGACTATTTAAGTGTCATGATAAAAATAAATTCGAGAATCGATGCATACGAGTCTATTAGCTCGTGATTTGTGAATGCGAAACTACGTCATAGAATTCATTCTGCACGGTCCCACGGTGAATGCGCGAACAATACTCTGGAACGGGATGAAGTCCACTCACCCTGCGGTACTCGGGACTTGCAACTGCAGTACAGTGACCTCGTGCGTACGCCAGGGGTAGGGGAGGGGGGTCCCGAAACTGGGTCACGGCTCCCTACCATCTACGCCCCACCCGTCTCCGCACCCGATCGACCGCCAAAATTCAACGCATTCCGAAAGAAACGGACTTTTGAACGGTTACCGGACCTACTCCCGCCGAATTAGGTCACTGTCATAATAATGTGATCGCTGTCACGGCTCATTTACTTCAAATCTGGTTGTGAGGACGTTGATGAGACAGTCGAATGGAATTTGGAGCATGTAGGCTGTGTTCTGGAGCAGTGAGTCTTTGTCTAAGTTTGATTTCGAAGCTTTCATGCCTTTGCACATCGGTCTTTTAAAGAAACACGTGTTTGCGTTTGCAATTACTCCTCACTTATTTGAAATTAAAGATGCAGCAATTTTTCTTCAGCTATGTGCACTTTTTAATCATCGCAATGCTTTAAGCAAGCATAATTTTCTCTCCAAGAGTTTACAATTCACTTTTCTTTATCCGTCGTGACTTTTATCGAATGGATGAAGGAATTATCCAGTTAGTTAAGCATTAAACTATCGGACACTGCTCTACGCCTACACTGCTCCAAGAAACTTTAAGATTTCTTTTGCTGCTTTCGTTTAAACAACCTTTCCGTTCGGTTGGAGAGTATTCGCTTTGATCACTGTTTCGATTGGCCGCCAAAATGGGATGTGACGATATTGCTCCAGGCGGAAAAACGGCGGAAACAGCCCGAGCGGCTCTTATTTGTTTGTAAAGTAATAATTCCTGAATGAAAAGGGTTCGATGGATATTTTTATTGGTTTTATTTTTACGGTTTCTGCGCCTCTGATCCGGGATTTTCTTAACGGAAACGCGTAATGTTGAACGGATGTAACGCTGTGTTATGTTTCTGTACAAAATTGCCCAAATATTTTTTGTTTCGTCCTACCCAAAGTCAAGTCGCATTTGCTTCGCTCTAGTTTGCTACGAGTTTAAAGGCCGGTCCATTAGTACACCTGTAGGTATTTTATACATGTGTTTTACAGATAACATATTGCTGATTCTGAATCTGAAAAAAAAAACTCCTATTCAAATAAATGGCATGCTTTTCAGCTAAATGCTAAGTACTTTGTATAGATGAGCAAGATGCACTGATAAAAAAATCACAAATGATGATTACCTAAGTACCAATAGGCACAACCATAAATTCATGCAAATTGCAAATATCAAACAAACCATCGATAAAAATTAATCTCTACATGTCATAAGCTTGAAACTGACCTTTTTTTGTAAATCCTTTTATTGTCACTTAGGTATAACGAAACTAGAAGTTATATTTGGCCTACAAAATATTCATATACTAAAACATAATTGTAACCATAATTGATAGTGTGCTGTGTACTATCCTTAAATAAATAATTCGTAGTAGGTACATTAGCAACAAAAATGTTTAATAAATTACTAGACAAGAAGCCACAATATGCAGCTTGATGTACTGTCGACTCTACCTAGTCAGTTATTATTTTAGAAGTTAAATTAGAAACGGTCTAAAAACTCTGTATGCGCCGAAAGGACCTAAGAAGTACTAAACACTTAGTGCAAGTTTTTTAAGAAACGACATTGTCCCTTGCGAATACCTACTTTCAAGAACTAAAATCTTCATAGGTTTTTTTGACGCACTCGCTAGCGAAAACGTTCAATGCAAACTCGCACTAAGACCTTTTAATAAGATTTGATTTGATTTTATTTGATTTGTGTTTTTGTAAACTGTTGTCTGAGTGCTCGACGTGGTTACTTCTGCCGCTGTAGGGGTCGTGGCTTTAGACTTTGTAATGCCACAAAAGCCTATAGTCGACTCCTAAGCCGGCATAAGTATCTATCTTCAGGATTTCTGCGCAAGAAGAAGAAAATTAATCGCAAAAATTGTAACAAATTGTACCTATCTTTTATCAGAAGTTTAGATGTCGTTCACAATTTGCCAAGGCCATAGTTCCAATTACCCATTTCTGGTCATGTCGTCTCGTTGTATCGCAAAAACAAAACCATTTGTTAAGAGCGAGAGAAAAATCGGAAATGCGTAGCTGGAACTGTGGCCCGCTGTACGTGAACTGTGTGGTGCATAGTCAATAATAATAATAAATCTTTTTTTTTACGCGACTTAGTACGCGTGGATCCCGTTTTACCCCCTTACGTCATAACATCTACCTGCAGGCCAAATTTCAGCCCGATCCGTCCAGTGGTTTGGGCTGTGCGTTGATAGATGCATTCAAAGATTTCTAAAAAGCTTGCCATACCCGGGAATCGAACCAACAAAAAATTGTTAAATGCAATAAAAATATAGGGTACACCCTGCATTTATTGTAAGTATAAGGATGAAATCTCTCTAAAAATTTAATAAATCAAATGAAAGGAAAACCATGAATTTCTTAATTTAATTTAAATTTTACAGACAATTTTATGGTATGGTGGTGAATTTTCGAAAAAATTTAGAAAATCTTTGAATGTGGTTCTCTTTCTTTTAAAAAATAAAGGAATGTTTTTTTTGAGTAAAATTTTCTAAGGTGGCATTACAAAATTCCACCCTGTATACTTATAAATGATATCATAATAATATGTACTACATGTACACAGTCATTCAGTTCTTATGATCGCTCGGGTCGGAACCAAACATATTCTGTGACAACTTGGGTGATTCCATACTTTTGCAAGTATACTTGTAGATTCATAGTTAATTCAAAGTTAATTGTACAATAAGGCTTCTTGCACATAGTTTCGATGGTGCGTTACTGTTGATCTAGTGAACCCTCTAGAGTCCCGCTTGGCAATGGAGGGAAGTCGAACCTTAATTTCGAACTCCTCCTATGTTCTTCTGATTAATTTCGTTGCGGGTCCAATGACAGTTTAACTTTCCCCCGGGACAAACTTGACCTTCATTGGTTGGGTTTTTGTGGCGGTCAAGCTGTAGATCCTGGCTACACAGGAGTTGCAGTGGTGGGAACGAGAGGTGGGAATAGTCCCGTTTTGTTGATCTAGTGAAGATTGTATTATATTATTAAGTAGGTACTAATTTGACGTAGGTGATAGGTAATTTATATTAATTTTTATGTATTTTACATAAGGCACTAAAATCATGAAATGTCATTGTTTATTTCTCTATAACCTGTCGCAAGGCTTGATATTGTATTGTAATAGATACGAGTAGGTAGGTACGAATATTTAAGTATATTAATTAAACGCCGTTGAAACATTGTTAAAACAAATATTAAATAGATATAATAAATTAATTCAAATTCAACAGAGTGTGGTTCCGCACTATTTAATACGAAAGGGGGAGGGGGAGGTTTACGTTTAGTAGTTTTTCACTGTAAACACAGAGCTGACGATCTAGGGAAGGTCGTAGGTAGACCCTGGATGCGTTTAGCGCAGGGCCAGTTGTTGAAACCGTCTAGCCTGGACAATAACTCGCAGTTCCCTCCCAAGACCAAGACTTTGGAGGACACCATCAGGTTTTAGTGGGTAGGCCCTGCCCATCTGGTAGGGAGAGCCACATACTTAAACTATTCATCTATTTCTAATATGGCAACTATTTCCTGACGAAAAATAAGGCCTTTGCCTAGCGACTTTAAGCTCAGGCCAAAAAACCTACGCGTGCAGCGCGCGTCGGAGATGGCGATGGCGATCATTGCGCGTGCGTAGATCGCCGCGACCAATGACAAGACGCGTTGATGTGAACTCATCGCTACAAAGTCATACATGACATCTGATCGCCATCGCGCACGCACTCTGCACGCGTTGAATTTAACCTCTTACCTACGGGAGGCACCTATAGTTGCCAACTCAAAAGACACTTCTCAATACGGGTGGCATCTATTATTATTTTGGCAAAGCCAATACTAAATCACGGTTTACGACAAAAAAACAATAAAATTGCAAATTAAGTTTAAAATGCGCTTGTAATTATAAAAGTACATTAGTTGCAGAATATAATATTCCAAAATGATTCCAAATTTCAATACCGTAAGTCTCATACTTTTTAAAATATCTTGATGTAAAGTGGAGCAAACAATTTTATAGGTTAAAATACCCCGTATTGAGAGGCGACTTTGGTTTCCAAGGGCCCGTAGGTAAAGGGTTAATGAAACTATGAATATTTCTTTGCTATCGTCAATCTGAATCTAATACGCATTGTTTCGTCCGCAGGAGAATGGCCGCGCGGCGCCTGACTTGACGGCGTCGCCCGGGCGCGCGCCGCCCGGGCCCCCGCAGCCGCCGCGCGCCAACCATGCGCCCCCCTGCGTGCTGCAGCCGGACTTCCGAAAGGTACGTGTTGGTTAACGGTGTTGTCAGTACTGGTAGCCAAGGCAAAAGCAGGAAAATGCCTTGAAAGATGACGACGTCGTCGAAGCCAAATAAAATGACCACTCAGCGTCTAGAAGACGATGCGGCGACCATGCGGACTTCCGAAAGGTACGACGTTATTGATAACTGTTGGTAGCTATGAAGATAGTATAGTTGCAAGGCAGAGGGCAAAAGAAAATGTCCATGTGATGTCTGAAATGACGCGACGTCTGAATGACCACGCCAAAGAGCATCAACCATGCGCCCTCTAGCGTGCTACAGTGTTACGTTGTTGGTTAAATGTTGAAGACATTATGAATATTGAATGCAACCAAAGATGGCAGATGGAAGACATGGAATGGCCAGGTGGGATAGGTGGGATAGGTCGAATAGGGTTCCCCCTATTCCACCTATCCCGGCTGGCCATCCCGCTAGGCGTTTGATTGAAGAGAAACTAAATGCTCCCTCGGCGTGCTGCAGAACAGTGAAACAATTTGTTGGCGAATTCCAGACTCAGCTATCATTACTTCTTCCGCTTCCGGGGTCAACAGCTGTATGAATAATACAACCTTGACCCCAAAGGCGGCGGAAGTAGCCTGCTTCAAGAAGAACAGAATTGCAGCCTTTAAAAGAAGAAGAATGATAAAAGAAGATACAATTTCACGGCACAATCCTAAATGTTAAAATGTATTAAACTTCAGGCAAACCGATGGCGATCACTGCGCGTGCATAGGGCAATGACAGGTCGCGCGTCCTGTCATTGGCCTATGCATATTATGAAACTCTTGTGTGACAAGACACTTATTAGAAGTAAACTAATGAAATCGCATGAGACATAAATTTAATAAACAAAGGTATTACCAGCTTAGCAGTCTATACTCTATATTGTAAAAATGTACAGACGATATCATATCAAGCTACAAACACTGTCGCATCAGAATTAGTTGTACCTATTAGGTTCTATTTATCAACAAATGTGCCGTCGACTGTTCATTGTTTAACTATTGTCTTCTTGTGTAATTTCTATTTTACCTACTATTTGTAATTGTGTACTGCTGTATAGGTATTGGCAACCTGCACTAGAATATGAAATGGTTTGCTTTTTACAAATACACCAAAGGAAATCAGAGATAAGGCACGTTTCCAAACTTGTGCAAGCTTTCCAATACACTTACTTATTTTGTTTGCTCTCATTTTCTATACCTACTCACTATACGAGTAGATAGTGCCATCCGCGAAGACGCGCCCCTCCTTTCGTCCTAATCGTTTATAGTTTATGTATGCATGCTTCCGCTAATGTTTTTTGAATGTTATCGGTACATGCTAATTTATCCACGAGTGCACACGCACACTATATAAATTTCACGACTGAAGCTCGGATCAAATTCCCGCACCCACGCTTCCCTCGACCAAAAATTGGTATGGCGCGTCTTCGTGGATGGCATGGCTATCTATACATCTATCTATATAAATAAAAATGAATTGCTGTTCGTTAGTCTGATTAAAACTCGACTGGGCCGATTGAGCTGATTTTGGTTTTAAAACGTTTGTCGTAGTCCAGGGTAGGTCTAAACGGTGAGCAAATAAGGGAAAATTGCGATGGCTTATTTATTGCTTTTAAGGCGGAACAGAGTTCGCCGGGTCAGCTAGTTTTGAATGAAAATGGATCCCATTTGTCCCATAAAGTTATTTTAGATACAGAAGATGAGTAGAGAATTCAGCAGCAAGAATTCAGCTGTCGGCGAGGATTACTTGTTCCGCTGTAGGGGTCGAGGAAGTTTCTATAGGCTTTTTGTAATGCTTTATGCCTATAACTCGACCCCTAAGGCGGCGCAAGTTAGTCAGACTCCAAGATTTCTGAAGAATAAAAAGAATAGTTGTTGAAACTTAATGCTCTGTATGTATTTTTTTCCAGATAATACATATTATTGTAAGTAAGAAGAGGACAAGTTATCAACGAGGATTACCTACTTACTAATTCTAGGCAGCAGTATTGTCCTCTTCCTTTTTTCGTTCGTCTTTTGTCATTTACCTATATCTTGACCCGTAAGATGGTGCAAGTAAAAAGGAAGAAGAATCTCACCCTAAAGAAGCAGAAGATTAGGGAAATTAAAGGAAGAAAGCCTGTTAGTGAGCTCTATCTTTTGTTGTCGATGAGGTTTACTTCTGTAATATGTTGCTGCGGTAGGGGTCAAGATCTTTGTAAGGCCACTAAAGCCTATTCTATGACCCCTAAGACCCCTAAGGCGGTTAAAGTAAGAAAGAACGAAAGAAGAGAGATATTTATAGTAAAACTGAGATTCTTTATTAACAAAACTGTACTGAATATCTTGTATCATGATGTGTGTGCAAACTAAATGACCTGATGATTATGAAGTGTTGTGTATGTGAAACTTCACATGTTTAGGTATAATTATCAATTATAACTGCTCCTGTATCTGTTGTTACTTTTATACATATTTTAAATAAATGTTCATTTGTATAATATGTAGGTAGGCCTATGTACTTTGTTGCGGTGCTTCTTCTCAGCACTTGTCAAATGTTTAACTGGAAGTTTTTGTAGGGAAAATAGATTTATGAATGTTAAGAATGTTAAAAATAAAGACATCTTTCATTTCAAAAAGACGTGATACAGATTTTCTTTTAGATAAGAGTTGCGAACCGAATTCTATTGTCTGTTATCATGAACAAAGTTGTCAGTGAGAAAAGTAGACTGAAGAATACTGAGGTTTATATTTTTGTATTCTAAAATGTGTTGTCATTCCTCTGATATTTTATTACACCAATAAATCGACTGCTTATTTCGAATACAGCTTTGCTATTTCCCGCGTGAGACAATTTCCTGTTATGTTGACTCTACATTTCCTTTGGTGCATTTCCTTCGTGCATTTGCGAATCTCTAAGTTGGATGTTAGTGTGTATTGTATATAAACTGTTGTTATGATTTGAGTTTTATGTCTTAGTATAATGTAGTGATTAGATCGTCAAGCGTGTTGTGCAATTAATGTTCATAAAAAAGTTTCGGAGTACAATACAGTAGTCGCCCTTGTGGCCTTGGTGACTTATAATGTAGTGTGATATTAAAATGTACCAATCTAGCCCGTGGAACCCTAAGCGGTTTTCTGCTACTTGAAGGGTTAGATGCAAATCATGCTCTTTGTTTGAAAATTAATGTCTATTTCTTAGTGTTAAGATTGATATTGTATAATCGATTGAAAACAAACTAAAGAATATTGATTGGTATAAGTGAAAATATATTTATAGTGTTTGTTTTGTTTCAGGTGTCGGGAGTCAGTAATGAAATATTTAGGCAGATTGAAATGGTTGAAAATGATCACGACACGACCACGGCTGCGGCGCTTGAGGTAATTATTAATTTAATTAATATCATTAGTAACCTACTAATGCAAATAAATTCATAAAAAACCTTTTGTTGTGGTTGTTTTCGGCATTTAGATAAATACAAAAAGAGTTGAAACTGGTACTATTGTAAGAAAATAAGTATTGCCGGTTTTTTAGACAGCTACTAAGGTTGAACAGTCCGTCGGATTTCAGTATTGATACATAACCCAAGGGTTAAATAGGCAGGGCACAGAGCACGCAGAACTGACGACCGATGGGGCGTCAAGGTTCTTTAGTGGAGGCCAGGGTACCGGTGAGCGCAACGTAGGACGTCCACACAAGGTGGAGAGACGTTCCCATAAAATTAGCAGGAAGGCGCTGGATGCAGACCGCTATTAACCAGCCAATCTGGAAATCATTGGGGGAGGTATATTCAGCAGTGGACGTCCTGTGGCTGAAAAATAATGATGATAGGATCAATGGAAATGTGGAATAGTACCTACCCTTTGCTTACCTAACAACTTATTATTAAAATTTCGAATGCATATTATTGCAGGCGGTGGAGCGACGCGGCGAGATGATCGTTCGGATACTGGAATTGAGACAAGTGGGCCGGAACAATATTGAAGCCGCCAAGAAATTCTTCGCATTGCAGGTATTAAACAACATAATTAATTAATATTGCACCCATATTAAAATTTGGCAGCCGCTGCGAGATGATGTGCCAATTTTACATCATTGTTTTATTAAAAGAAAAGTCTGGGCCAAACACAATTAAACATCTGTTTTATTATTCGTACTTTTTGGGGTTTGCATACAATGTGAAATATCATAGTGATAAAATACTCATTTCTTGACTTAAAACTCAAACAGCTTCGTTTTTTGCCTCGACTCGTACGCAGCTATACCTACTTACTTGTATCTGCATACTCGTCACCGCCTGCGGGTAGGCAGATAAATGGCGCGTTCCTCTTGAAAAACAGGTAATGCCCCCGCTCCATTGACCCGGATTAAACTCGTAACCTAGTACGGGACCGCTGAAAGAACCTACTCTACTGAACCCCATTGTTAGTGGCCTAGATCGCTGGGAATGCGAACGCAATCTAGGCGCATTGTCAGATGCGCGCTTGCGATATTGCCGCGGTCCCCGTCGGTATTGCCGCGGTCCCCGTCGGTATTGCTGCGGTCCTTCGATATTCGGAATACGCAGAAATGCAAATAGAGCGTCAAGCATTTGGAACGCGAGATGACCCCAATATTGGGGAAAGTGTGTTTGTCACTCGATTATGCTCGATACTCGATCAAAGGGGTAGCTGATTTGGAAGTACATCTGTTACAGTTGAAATTGTCATAAGCTACGTATCTACACGCTTTAGAGAAGTTTTTTAGTAGGTAGTTATTTCTTTTTGGGATTATGGGTAGGTTCTGTGCTTTTAATTTTTTTTTCTTAGTTAAAGTACTAATTATTTAGTAAAGCCTTAAAATGATGGAAAAACGTTAAAAAGCTGTGCAAATCGAGTGGAAATTAATGGAATTATTCATGTGATAAACTTCTAAAAGTTTGTATTCTCTCATTAAAAAATGAAGGCCACATAAAATTATTAATCTAAATAAATAAGTGTTTTGATGTACCTATCTTTTGTTATAATTATTTTATAAGAAATTCTTTTCAACAACGGTATTTGTATTTGTAAGAGATTTTATATTTTAAATTTTAGGAAGCTTTGTAACTGAAACACCTCCATTCACGGCTTTTGCTATGCGATACCGCTGTGGCCGCATCCAATATTTGAATCGGGGACACGAATTCCCATTATTGGTACACAAAACCAATAGGAGAAGGCTATGTTGTTTGTTTTGTGATAAAAATGGTAGAACAATGCATGTTTTGAATAACGAAAATTGCGGATGCACCAAACTGTGAAATGTGAAACCCACTTAAATTATTTTTTAAATTCTACAATAATAACTGGCTGGTTATACTTTTTAAGACAGAAACTTTTTTCAAAATAGTTTTTAATTGCACGTACCTTGTAATTATTTGGTAGCGTGATAATATTACTGGCTGGTAATTTTATTCTTTTGGAAACATCCTAACATTCATTTGTTTTTTACAAGGAAAATGTGTGGCGCATTTCAGTTGTTAATTTTAGGTAAATATTATCGTAACTAAATAGTTAAGTATTTATTTAGGTATGTACTTGCTTTATATGATGTCATTACGAAGAAAGTAAAGTAGGTAATCCGCATTTCAAGAAAATTTAGCTTTTTCTTGTAGCATTTGTTTTAATTTTTTTTGTATTATGTACGGACGACGGCACGTCAACGTAACCACTGTGGGTTCTTGTGCCGTTGCAATAGGGGCGAGTTTGCAACAAAAATGTGTAACCTGATGTGCTGTCGTGTGTACAATCAATCACTAACAGAGGTTTTCTCAGTTGTAAATTAAGCTATTTGAATTTCACATAAACTTAATATTGTAGGATGTTCTTGACTGCAACTTATAAAATATTAAAAAAAAATAGTAGGTACATTTCATGTTGGTGTGGTGGATATGATACTCGTAGCTGTCTATTTTTCACATCGTAACAAAATGTTTTTTAAACTGTTACACGAAGGGAAATCTACAGTAAGTAATGTTTGTTCCAGGACGCCCGCCACATAGTACAACTAGTGGAGATCGTGAAGCGTCCGGGGCAGACCCTGGGCCTCTACATTCGAGAGGGCGACGGCGGCGCCAGAACTGATGGGGTGTTCATATCACGGATAGCTTTGGAGTCGGCCGTGTACAACAGCGGGTGTTTGAAGGTAAAAATACATACCTACATTTTCCTATCATGTTGCTATAAAAATTGTGTTGCACTGCTGAATGACCGCTGAATTATTGTGGTGAAGCCCACTTCTGATTCAAGCAAGTTAGATATTTCAAGATAGACAGCTGTCTAACAACGTTGATCAGTGACTTTTTGTGTATTGTATACCTAAGGGTGCGTTTCCACAGAAGCTGAGCTGCGCGGAGCTGAGCAGAGACTTATAAAAATTGACCAATCACATTGCTCAAAATACACATCTCATCTCCGTTCCAACTTCCAATTCAGTCCGATACCCATTTACACGGCTCTGCTCCACTCAACTCCGCGCAGCTCCACTTCTGTGGAAACGCACCCTAATTGTGAAGGTTGAAGAGGTTTAAAATACAATATTGTTACTGCTCTACTTTTCATGCGTTTCTTTTTCCTGAAAATTGATGTACTTACCTACCTAAACAAAAAGCGCAACTTTATAATAATGTGAACGAACGCGATAAAAAATGTTAAAAAATATTGGTGCTCGTGATAAAATAAAATAAAAAACAAAACACACTCACTTACTTACGTACCGTTTTCTATTTTTGACGTTCATTGGTTTTCTATTGTAAAGATTCAAGCGACGATATTATAATTCTTGACAAAAAACAAATGAATAACGTTACATTTTGTTCAAAGGTGGGAGATGAGATCCTGGCGGTGAACCTGGTGGACGTGAGGCGGATGTCGCTGGACGACGTCGTCATCATCATGTCCATTCCGAGGCGGCTGCTGCTGTGCACGAGGCAGAGGAAAGGTCAGCATTATAACATTAGATAAAATATTCATAGAGTAACTCCCTAGGCGCAGACCACCGATTTTTAGTTGGCCGATAGTTGGATCGGGCTGTTGATCAGTATGGAGATCAGTATGAAAGTGCGCACATTACACCAATTTGGTATCGGCCGATTTTTCATACAAATTAGAATCGGGCCCAATCTCATCTCGGCTCTCATATCGGCAAACTAAAAGTGCACCTAGGCTAAAAGAGTGAGTTTGTTTGATATCAAGGTAGAGTTATAATTCATTTTAAAATAAAATGTTTACTGTCTTACAAAAACCTTAGGAATTGGGTGTAGCTAGCTACTAAGTAATGCTTTGTTAGCTCAAGTGTTATTCCTTTCATAAAATTTAAAGCACCTTGTTTAACTTATTGGTTTGTCGATAATTTTAGTCGTTAAGATGAAAGGGGTAACAATGCTACTACCTAAAATGGTTTTTAAAAATAAATTGAGTTATTTGATATCAGTAAACTTTTTTTAAAGAAACCTACGAATTATCTCTATGTCATTTGCCGTTTAAAAGTAGTTAATACAGTCGCAATGATGGATAAATCAACTTGCTGAGTGTAGATCCTTCCTTCACTAATTTCGTACTAAACGATTACAAAATGTGGAAAATAACTTTGCTAGGCAAATCAGGACCAGGTTCACCGTCGATGCCGCGCTCGGAACACAAGCCGCCGCCGGTGGTGGTGCTCAAGCGGGACTGCCGGGACGACGATGACAGGGACAGGGATCGCGTCGATGGACTGTACTCACAGTAAGTATCTAGATAGTCTTCTTTTACTTCGCAAGTCAGGACCAGGTTTCCCGTCGATGCCGCGCTCGGAACACAGGACTGCCGGGACGACGATGACAGGGACAGGGATCGCGTCGATGGACTGTACTCACAGTAAGTGCCTGAATATTCTTCTTTTACTTGGCAAGTTAGGACCAGGTTCACCGTCGATGCCGCGCTCGGAACACAAGCCGCCGCCGGTGGTGGTGCTCAAGCGGGACTGCCGGGACGACGATGACCGGGACAGGGATCGCGTCGATGGACTGTACTCACAGTAAGTGCCTGAATATTCTTCTTTTACTTGGCAAGTTAGGACCAGGTTCCCCGTCAATACCGCGCTTTGAACACAAGCCGCCGCCGGTGGTGGTGCTCAAGCGGGACTGCCGGGACGACGATGACCGGGACAGGGATCGCGTCGATGGACTGTACTCACAGTAAGTTCCTAGATAGTCTTCTTTTACTTCGCAAGTCAGGACCAGGTTTCCCGTCGATGCCGCGCTCGGAACACAAGCCGCCGCCGGTGGTGGTGCTCAAGCGGGACTGCCGGGACGACGATGACAGGGACAGGGATCGCGTCGATGGACTGTACTCACAGTAAGTATCTAGATAGTCTTCTTTTACTTCGCAAGTCAGGACCAGGTTTCCCGTCGATGCCGCGCTCGGAACACAAGCCGCCGCCAGTGGTGGTGCTCAAGCGGGACTGCCGGGACGACGATGACAGGGACAGGGATCGCGTCGATGGACTGTACTCTCAGTAAGTTCCTAGATATATGTATGTAGATCGTGCCATTCACAAAGACGCGCCCCACAAATTTTGGGCGAGGGAAGCATGGGGTGCGGGGAGTTTGATCCGAGTAACAATCAAACATTAGCGGAATGGTGGGACGCGTCTTCGTGGATAGCATGATCTATAGTCTTCTTTTACTTGGCAAATCAAGAGCAGGTTTCCCGTCAATGCTGCGCTCGATGATTTTCATATAAACAAGAACAAAATCACGGTAGGAAAAATGCATCTAACTAGCAACAATTGAGTAATTTTTAAAATTATAAAACAATATTTCTTTTCACCAGGCATGGAACACTTCGGTCTACCGGTGGTCCAGGATCTAGCGTCAGACCAGTTGGTGATGGGAGGGAAGAACGAAGCCGACTCCAACTGGGAGCACTTTCACCAGATTCCAACGCACTGGACCTTTACTACAACCCTCGGCCTCCATCCGACCATTCCACGTGGAGGTACGGTGGAAGAATATCTGAGGATACTGATAAGTAAATACATTTATACATGGACGATCTTGTTGTATTATGCTTAAAAATTACTTTTATTTTGATGTTCCGGTGATTTGCACTGTAGTTATGGGTTCGAGTCGAGTATATTGTTGGGAACTAATTTAATGTGCATGATTAAGGCGTCAATACGCTATAATATAAATTTTGGACAAAGTTGAAACAATTTGTTTAAAATATTTATTTTATTTATTTAATTGAAAATTTAATAATTATTTCATCTCTTTTCACCAGTTATTGTAGATTTAGGTATTACATTTGTTCCTTGGTTTTGTTGCAGCTATAGACCACCGCCTCCAGTAATAACGGAACAGCCTAAGTCTTCAGCAACTCACTTTGTGCCATACGAACGGTCTTACCCTAACACGCTTGAAAGTTTGGCAGAGAAGGTGCATTCATTGTACCCAGCGGATAGTGGCAGGTCAGTAACTAAAACAAAGATCATTGTCCTGTAAGTCAGTGCCAGTCTTGTCTGATGATATATTTCAGACTTCGAAGAATAATATAGAATATTCTTAAGAGGTGACGTCATGTTTTGTTTCAGTACGCGGTTTGGAGGGAGAGTCCCTCGTTCTGGATCAGAACAACAGTTACCGAGAGCTGAGACACATTCAGACTTTGGTCGACACTCTTTGTTGAGGTCTAGCTTGAAGGCTTCGGCCGCTGCTGGCAGTGGTGGTACGAATACACTTTTACCTCTTTAGATAGTATCTGTTACTTTGACGATTTTTTAAAATAATAATTTGGTTATTCTAGCATCGAGTCTATCAAGATATAATCAAAGATACGGAGGAATTGGTGGTGTTGGTATGCCAGGAAGTGGCCTAACAGGGACTGGATTATCAAGTGGTCTAGGAGGACCGGGCTTGGGAGGGCCAGGCCTTCCGTCAGGCCTGTCGACGACTGGACTCAGCGGTTTGACTGGCTCTAGCCTTGTAGGCTCAGGACTTACCAGTTCAGGATTGGGAACTGGATTAAGTGGAACAGGCTTAGGATCAACTCTTGGAGGAGGCTATGGAACGACAGGGTTGGGTCTACCATCATACGGCTCCAAATTCGGCACAACGAGAAGGAATCGAAGCTTGGACTATTCGTCGGATACAGAAGCGACGGCGCCTACAAGAGCACCATATTATTCGGGATTGAGTGGCTACAGAAGCAGTACGCTTGGTAGAGGAGACATCGGATCTAAATTCAATTCTCTGCCAAGAGATGTTAGGAACACTGGTCAAAGGTAACAACCATACTAAAATTTCCATTTTTCATTCTAGAGTAGATAAATTTTCCAAAAGTATTATTTTCATAATGTAATTTTTGGACAGATTGGGACTAAGCAGACGCGCCGGGAGTGTTCTTCAAGATGAGCCGGAACCTTTATCTTCGCGTTTAGATCTACGTTCTTCCAGAGGTAAATATAAAGAGTATACAAATAATATAGGATAGGATTATGTACATACTTTCATAAAACTTATCTTAAACACAATATAAATTACAATACAAGTAGACAAGGAAAAATGTTGGGAAAGAGCCCGACGATGCTCACTTTCGAATGGTTTTAAAATTATTTGATTAGAGTATTACAATTATTACTTTTCACCTCCAAGACGTCACTACGGAAGAGCAGGGGTCTACTTTATGTACCTTTCTTGAAACGTTTCGTCGAATTCTTGTACTCTTTTGGGTTTCGGTATTTTTATCTGCCTTAACCTGTGTGTTACTTGGAAAGTTTGACCGCATATTAACTGGCAGGTCGCCTCACGTCTTCGCCGTCAGTGTTCACGTCGGACGAGTACCGCGCGTGGCTGTCTCGTGCGCCGTCAACCAGCGCGCTGTACGAGACGCTGCGCCCGCGGCTGCCTACACACTACTCAGCTGAGAATATACACGATGCATTGAAAAACGTAAGTAAATAATTTTGGAACACAGATCATAATTTTCATGCGTATGCATCGAATCATATCAAGTGCATGCCAATCCGTAAGAACATTCACCAGCGCGCTATACGAGATGCTGCGTCCGCGCTTACCCAACGCGATGAAGTATCTTGATCATATTAATGACGGCTCTCGTTTTAGCACTCACCAGTTGGCGCTACTGTTGACGCCAACTGGTGAACGCTGAATAGGTACGAGGATTGTCGCATTTGGACTAACCAGGAGATACTGTCACTCGCTATGTCAAATATTTAGTGAAAAACGATACATACCTACCTCGTTTTAAACATCTGGAAACGTTGGTGACTGGCGTTAGAAGTATTATTATTTCTTTGTAACGACTTTTGAAGTACTTAACAAATCTCAATATATTACCAGATGGAAAGCGGCAGCCGCTTCGGCTCCTCACTCGGCCTAGCTGGCGTCGCCGGTCGCCGCATTGAGCGCCCCCGCCACCTGCCCGCGCGATCGCTCTCCTCCCAGCAGCTGGGGCCCACCGCCGGGGGGTCACCGTCGGCGAGGCGCGTCAGACAACTCCTGGAGCTGGGGTCCCGGTTCAACTGCCCCAACCCGAGCCCCGTGCCAACGCCAAGCTCGCGTCACCAGAGGCATCTTGACATCAATCCCAACGGTGAGTGTTTTCTTGCTCTCTTCCCAGCAGCTGGGGCCCACCACCGGGGGGTCACCGACGGCGAGGCGCGTCAGACAACTCATGGAGCTGGGGTCCCGGTTCAACTGCCCCAACCCTAGCCCCGCGCCCACGCCCAGCTCGCGCCATCAGAGGCATCTTGACATCAATCCCAACGGTGAGTGTTTTCTTGCTCTCCTCCCAACAGTTGGGGCCCACCGCCGGGGGGTCACCGTCAGCGAGACGCGTCAGACAACTCCTGGAGCTGGTGTCCCGGTTCCACTGCCCCAACCCTAGCCCCGTGCCCACGCCCAGCTCGCGCCATCAGAGGCATCTTGACATCAATCCCAACGGTGAGTGTTTTCAGTGATTGTGCCCCCGCCACGTATGCACGCGCGCTCGCTCTCTTCCTAACAGCTGGGACCCACCGCTGCGCGCCGGGGGGCCACCGCCGGGGATCCATCCCATTTACAAATGGTATGTATACCTACTTCCTTGATTAGTAATCGGTCAAAACCACTTTTGACTGCAAAAATCGTTAATTCATAATTTCAAGAATTCAGTAAAAATTACTAGTTCTTGAATTAAGAATGAAAATGACTGCACGGTATTGGCATTCAAAACATTTAGTGTTTTTTCTATTTGGGAGGATTCAATTACATGCCTGAAAGTTAACATTTAAAGTTCTTGACCAACCTTAACTGAGCTTTCCAAATATATTTATTACAGAGTTCCTAAAATACAAAGTGGAGAAACCTGGTTCTGGCGGTCTCTCAGCGTCCATGACCGGTCTTTCCCGCCTCGCGGGCGGGGTCTCGGGCATGTTGTGGGTGCACTTGCTAGCGGGACGGGGACTAAGGCCGGCGCCATCCGGGGCTTCCCCGGGGTCGCCGCCGTCCGGGCCCTTGGCGCCGGCCCAGCCGCCGGTGGCGCCTAGAGACTTGTACTGTGTGCTGGAGTGTGATCGAGTGCACAAAGCGCGTACTGTGGTGAGTTATGTTGTATTTCAGCAGTTGTCAATGTTTTAGACATCATTTTCTGTTTGGATATCTTGTAGACTTTAGCCGCCTAAGTTTTTAATTTTTATGTCCTTATCATTTAAAAGCTGTAATCACGATCTTGAGTGGAAAACTCGAATTATTTTTTCTATCAATAGGTAATTGCATTCCAAAAAAATTTTTTTCACCATAAACTTGATATCCCAGAAAGAGAATATCATAGGCAATATGTAGTACCTACACTGATAAAATTCCACTGTCCCGATAGGAAACCGATTTGATTTCTTTATTAAAATTATCATAACGCTTCTTTTCTTCTTATGTTGGTCTTATGTTTTCTCAGCTGGATTCAAAATACTATTATTATATCCCGTGTCCATCAGGTCCGCACGGGCGAGCTCCAGTTCGACTGGGATGAGTCGTTCGAACTAGAGCTGGTCGACAACCGGCAACTAGACGTGCTTGTATACTCGTGGGACCCGCAGCACCGCCACAAGCTGTGCTACCGCGGCGCCGTCACGCTGCCCGACCTGCTGGCGCGCTCGCCGTCGCACCAGCTGGCGATAAAGGTACCTACTGCAAGAGACACAAGGTTCAAATTACTTCAGTCTGCATGAACTACGCAAGCTTGCCACAGTACCGCTACAAGCTGTGCTACCGCGGCGCCGTCACGCTGCCCGACCTGCTGGCGCGCTCGCCGTCGTACCAGCTGGCGATAAAGGTACCTACTGCAAGAGACACAAGGTTCAAATTACTTCAGTCTGCATGAACTACGCAAGCTTGCCACAGTACCGCTACAAGCTGTGCTACCGCTGGGCCGTCACGATGCCCAACCTGCTAGCGCGCTTGCCCTTGCACCAGCTGGCGATAAAGGTACCTACTGCAAGAGTCACAAGGTTCAAATTACTTCAGTCTTCATGAACTACGCAAGGTCGCCACAGTGTCGTGGGACACGCAGCACCGCTACAAGCTGTGCTTTATGCTGCCCGACCTAGCTAGCTAGCTGGTGATAAAGGTAAAGGTAACTTAAAACACGACAGAGAAGCTACGGACAGTGTCCTGCGTGAGCCATACGAGTCGAACATGCGGGACGTCACTAATGGCAGTTGCCTCTAGTATTCTTCCGCGTTTCCTGATCAGCAGCCGAATTGCTGAGGCATCAACTAGGAAGAGGACATTATTCACACGCCAGCAAGCGCACGTGCTTACAACTGAGGCCTGAAGATATCGCTTTTTAGTCTAGTTGTCGTCAAAAGTCAACAACTGACTATAGATGACCCACGCTGAACTGTCCCGCCAAACTCAATGACAGGGGGGCGCTACCATCGTTCAACTTTATGGTTTCCAACATGGCAAAAATCGGAACCAGCGATTCGGTATTGACGGTGGCGCCCCGCTGTCAATGTCATCGATAGGACAGTTCAGTATTTTGAAACTATAACTTTTTGTGAGCTGTCAAATATTATTCTCCTTTAGCAACTGCGCCTAGGGCGCAGACCACCGATTTTTAGTTGGCTGATAGTTGGATCAGGCTGCTGAACAGTACGGAATGTAGTTTGTTTTAAGAATTAATCGGTGTAATGTGCGCACTTCCATACATGCCCATACTGATTAACTGCCCGACTAAACTATCGGCCGATAAAAAATCGGTGGTCTGCGCCTAGGCTTAAACTTTGTATGGTACAAAAAAAAAGTGACTTCACTTTCTCACTTTCCAAATCATCCTCACAGATGGAGCCCCGAGGGACGTTATACGTGCGCGTACGCCACACAGAGCCGCACGAGTTATTCCGGCGGCGGCCGGCGCCGTCGCGTATGTCACCGCCGCCGCTGTTCGGCGCGGAACTAGACGCGGTGGTAGCGCGAGAGATGCGGCCGGCGCACGCGCCGCCGGTACCGCTCATTGTACGCCGATGTGTTGAGGAGATCGAGAGAAGAGGGCTGGACATCATTGGTAAGTAAATGCCTTTGCAGAAAACAAATGATTGTTAGGACTTATCTAAATGTAAATATAAAAGCGGAAGGTCACTGAATGACTGACTGACTGAGTCACTCACTCATCACGAAATCTCAGAAACTACAAGTCCTAGGAGTCTCAAATTTTGCATGTTCGTTTTAAACGTAACGTAGGTACTCACTAAGGCGGGATTTTGGGACCTCTTGGAGTAAAACGGGATCCACGCGTACGAAGTCGCGGGCTGTCGCGCCGGCAGTAACTTATATAACTTTTGTGACTTCTGTGACTTCTATGACTTCTGTGTCTTCTATTGCTTGTATAACTCCCACGAGTTATAGGACTTAATTGAATGGGTTGAGGAGAACGAGAGATATTGGTTTATAAACGGTGCTACATTGATGAGATTGAGAGGCCACCTTATTAGCAACTTAGAGACAATTATTGTAGAACTTCAGGCCTCGTCAAACTATCTAACATGGGAAGAGTAGGTCTAATTGTCCATTTAGCTCTGAGTATATTAGAAAGTTATTACAGTGAAGAAATAAATGACCTGGTGATCATAATTTATTTATATTTATTTTAATTAATAATGGTGACGGTTTTGTTATTAGAGACTAAATTTTAAATTAACATCTTGAAAAAATCGAACTGCCTAAGGCAGGAATTGAATCCACGACTAGACTAGTTTTGTCCACGCCTCCGACTGCATTTGTGAACACTGTTAACCATGATCATTGAAATTCAGAAAAAAGAAAGAAAGAAAGAAAGAAAAAATATTTATTTGGTACTAGTGCAATTTTTAATTTGTTTCCTTCTATGTTTTGAGTACAGTTGGGTAAGAATAACAATAGTATTACTTACTGAACATAATTTTCCGTCACCAGGTCTTTACCGCCTCTGCGGTTCTGCCAGCAAGAAGCGAATTCTCCGAGAAGCGTTCGAAAGGAACGCTCGAGGCGTGGAGCTGACGCCCGACTCGGTTCCCGACATCAACGTTATAACCGGCCTGCTCAAGGACTATTTAAGGGAGCTCCCGCAGCCGCTGTTCAGCCGGTGTCTGTACCAGATGACACTGGATGCTCTTGGTGAGTCATGAAGATGGATGGTTTTTGAAAAATCATTTTTTCGAGTTAAATCAATAATTTAGAATGCTCATGATATTTTGTGTATTTTTGCATCTTTCATAATTTCTTTTAACTTAGTTCTTCAGTGATAGACTGTGTTGATAAGTACTCGTACCTAATGTAACTGATGCTGAATTGATCTGTAATTTTTAAGCCTTTGATTCTGGCTATGAGCACACTGCTATCTAATGATGAGATGAGATGATTATAGTGGGCTCGAAGCAGGCAAAGTCATCGTACATAGATATACTTGATACCTAGGTCGTAAAGGAACTGTGGTATGATCGTTTCACTCCACCAATTTTTGGTCGAGGGAAGCGCAAGGTGCGGGGAGTTTGATCCGAGCAATCCAAGCGTCATTATTGTAGTGTGCGTGTGCACTCATAATTTAGCGTGTACCGATAACACTCAAACATTAGCAGAAGAATGGTAGGGCGCGTTCTTCGTGGATGAAGTAGGTAATATTGGTTTTAGGTGCCCTCGGACGAGTTCGCGTTCTACAAAACTTTTTTCTATTTCTCTCACTAGGACTAACTATGCTAGTAACAGTTTTGTACCTAGATCTTGTGAGGAATATGATAATAGGTTTAACGCGATTGACATTTTTAATTCTTCCTTACCATCTTATAAAAAACAATTAAGATAATGTTTGAATATATAACTTTGACCTACATAATTATAATTATAATTTATCTGACATTTGATTTATATAATTTTATTAATTTTTAACTTTTTGACATTTTATAATTTTTATTAAATTGAACTGTTTGACATTTTATAATTGACACTTATTTATTTGACATTTAGAAATTAATGTATAAATTATTACTATTTTAGTGTGCACTCTGTATTCATTTTAACTGTGGAAACTTTGCTGATTTCTGTCCTATTTTTTGTGTGATTATTTGTCTGTATATCAAAATTATTTGTTTCCCTAATATAAATAAATAAATAAAATAAAAAAATGAAAAGATCTTTACTAACTAATAATATAATTATTTTAGGCGTCTGCCTCCCCGACGACCGCGAAGGCAACGCGCGCCTCATGGCCTCGATAGTCGAATGCCTCCCTCGCGCCGCGCGCGCCACCCTCGTCTTCCTCCTCGACCACCTCGCCCTGGTGGTGGCTGCCCAGGACAGAAACAAGATGTCCCCTCAACATCTGGCAGTGGCCCTAGCACCGCCATTGATGCTGCACTCCCAACCGGCAAATGACCTGGACTACCAGAGGCCGATACATGTCCTTCAATGCCTGCTGCAGATCTGGCCGCCGCCTAAGCGTTCAGGTAATGTACCCTCGTTTTTCTGTTTGATAATAGGGTAGTTGACACCACCAGTCAATTAAAATATGAGCTGTCAAAATGCATATAATATTATTTCCCACTAGCTGACCCGGCGAACTTTGTTCCGCCTTAATGGCAATAAATAAGCAGACTTTTTTTAATTTCGAACGGGATAAAAAGTATCCTATGTCCTTCTCCTGGCTCTAAACTACCTCCCTGACAATTTTCAGCTAAATCAGTTCAGCCGTTCTTGAGTTATAAGTGGTGTAACTAACACGACTTTCTTTTATATATATAGATATTAGATTTTGAATGGCAAATGGAAGCTATGACGTCTGTGTAGCGTAGGTCACTGAGCAAAAGATCAATGTTCTTCCGAACCGTTTGTCATTTGGTCGTGGATTGAAAAGACAAGGCCAGATTTTGTATGATTGAAAACTAACTCGGTTTTCGGAGCTAGACAGAAGATTTTGTAAAAAGAAGTCATGGAATTATTGGTTCGTGGTGTCAACTACCCAATTTAGTGCGTGGTGACTGGTGATCAACATTAGCATGATATCTTCTCGACACTTGACATCAGTACTGGTAGTAGGTACAGACGCTTGATTATATTTTGTTGAACTTACTGTCCAAGGCATGTTCTGTAGAGAGCAGATTGCAAAGCTGTTCAACTAACAGGTTATGTACGTAATCTATTGACGTGCTTATGTGACTTCTGTGTTAGAAATTAAAAGAATTGCAATCTATCGTTTAAAAGTTAATTTTAAATTTTTGTCGTAAATATTTTCTATCATCCATAAAACATCATTAAAAATCACCCTAGTTAGTATTTTACGACAAAATTATACTGTTTATCAATTGAGTAAAGTCATAAGTCCTCAAGATTGTTTTTAAGATTTTTGTGTCACATAGAGTGCATATAACCGTGTTTATTTTCTGTAGTCCTTAGACAGTAGTGGCAAGTGGTTGTGGAGATCTAAGCGGAACCTTAACGCATGTATGTTTGTAGACAGTTCGGCGCGGCGAGCCAGCAACCGGGCCGCGTGGAAGCAAAGTCAGTGCGTCGCCAGCGGCCTCAGCCACCCTCCCCCCAGGTGATAAGTAACCCCACCACCATAGGTAGTCACATAGGTAGTCTTTTCCCCCAAGTGATAGGTAGATCTAACCCCCACGTGATAAGTACCCACAACCGCCATCAAGATTTTATTTTAGAACAACATTGACAAACTGATAAAGGTGACTGAGTTTCTTTTGCCACTTCTTCTCAACACCAGCCCATACGTTGTCTCGAAGTGGTGGTAGGGCAAGCTATATTTGGGACGTGTATAAGTGCCCTGGAAAGGGCCTATGTACTGAATAAACTGAATAATTAAAAAATAAAATGAAATCATTTCATTACAAATGGTAAAACGGGTTCTGTCACTAAAGATCTAAAGAAGGAAGTCGAAATGTATTAAAGTTGGAGCCAACTAACCTGGAGCTTGTAAGTTTGTTTCCTTTGAATGAAAAACTTTTCTATTTATCGATCTGGGGGTCAATTTATAGGCTCCCAAAACGTTTCTTTTGAAATCTATATTCTCATACACATATACCTACACAAAGATAATCTGTAAACCATAAACATTTTTATCATTTTCCATGTATCATTTTATAATAATAGTATTTTGAAGTCGTTGTATGCGATGCTAGTATTATTATTGGCATTACATTGTAACATAATAAACAAATTGTCAGGTTTGAAATAAAACTTGCCATACTAATTGAATGAGTATTTAATGAGGGCTATCGTTTTAGCGCTCACCAGTTTGCGCCACTGTAGAGTAAGGTCCTGTCACTTGCTAGTAGCGAAGACAGTGGCACCATCTGGTGAGTGCTGAAGTGGTAGGAGGACTGTCGCATTTGCACTCATCTAGATGGCGCCACTGTAGAGTAAGGTCCTGTCAATCGCCAGGGGTGCCAACTGTTAAGTATAAAAACGACAGCCCTCATTGCTATAACGTTTGTTGACGCAGGCCGAGTTCCGCCCTCAGTCAGTCCATATCGGCCTCAAGCGGCAGCATCAGCAGCATCTCCGCCGCCAGCTCTCTCGGGTCGGCCCGTGCCCGACCGCTCGCCGCCCGCACATGTAAGTATGGTAACAAGCCTTATCGCGAGTCCTATAGAGTACATTGTTGAGCGTTATACGGCAGGTTCTGTGCCATTTTCGTCGCCAGCTCACTAGGGCCGTGCTCCTCAACTGCCCACCGCAACATTGCGTGCACGATAGAACTCAAAAGTTGAACATTTCCACCGCAAATTCTCTCGAGTGAGACTACCTTGAGACTACTGAAGCAAACATTATATTAGGTACCTACCTAATCGAGTTCAAAGTTGAGTGTGAAACGAAAAATAATCTTTTCTGTTGGAGATCTGTATCCATCTCTTAAAGGTGAAAAAGAGAAATCAAAATTCTTCAACTTGGTAGATCTTTGTCAATAAATAAAATAAAATAAAATAAACATACAATATTCGGATTTATGTATATTACAAATGTAGATTTCTGCATGAGAACAATTAATGTGCGTTCTAAAAAACACTAAAATAAACCATCTTGTTCAGATTTTGAACGAATGTTTTTTTTTGCAATCTTGGGTATTTATTGCAACTGTGTTGCTTATTAAACAAATGGCTAGGCTTGTTACCTTAATAGTGTTTTTTCTCCCACCCAGGTTCTCTCATCAGTCAGGGCCGGCCAATATCGTCCGCAGTCGCCTCTCCGCGGGCCGCTGCCCGCTCCTCCTCGCTCCCGTCAAGTGACGGTGTCGTCGCCCGGCTCGCCCAGCAGTAGCAGCGGCAGCCACAGCCCCGCCGACACCATCAAGCACACCGGCTCCGTGTCGTCTATCCTGCGGCAGCCGGAGCGGGCGGCCTCGCCCAGAGGTATGGGGTTCTGTTCTCGATAGGGACATTCCAAGGGAAACTTCAAAATTTTGAGGTCTACCCCTTCCATCATTCCAGAGTGATCCCTGAAGAAGCCATTCACCAATCTCATCATGACTCCAGGTCTGAGGAAATCCATATGAGTTTGACATTCCCAGAAGACTAATTTTGGCCTAGCCGTAGCTCTGATGTATGTTGTTACCCTTATCTGCATGCTACCGTCTCAGTCAAGCGTCAACTCTCTCCTACTGTTCGGTCCTCCTCGCTCGTCAAGTGGCGGTGTCATCGCCCGGCTCGCCCAGCAGTAGCAGCGGCAGCCACAGCCCCGCCGACACCATCAAGCACACCGGCTCCGTGTCGTCTATCCTGCGGCAGCCGGAGCGAGCGGCCTCGCCCAGAGGTATGGGGTTCTGTTCTCGGTAGGGACAAAGAGCAGATGCTCCTAGGGAATCTTCGACATTTTGGGATCTTTTGTGTTTACCCCTTCCATTATCCCAGAGTGATTCCTGAAGAAGCTCTTCACCAATCTCATCGCGTCTCCAGGACTGAGGAAATCCATTGTGTTACCCTTATCTGCATGCTACCGTCTCGGTCAAGCGTCCTCTCTCTCCTACTATTCGGTCCTCCTCGCTCCCGTCAAGTGACGGTGTCGTCGCCCGGCTCGCCCAGCAGTAGCAGCGGCAGCCACAGCCCCGCCGACACCATCAAGCACACCGGCTCCGTGTCGTCTATCCTGCGGCAGCCGGAGCGGGCGGCCTCGCCCAGAGGTATGGGGTTCTGTTCTCGATAGGGACATTCCAAGGGAAACTTCAAAATTTTGAGGTCTACCCCTTCCATCATTCCAGAGTGATCCCTGAAGAAGCCATTCACCAATCTCATCATGACTCCAGGTCTGAGGAAATCCATATGAGTTTGACATTCCCAGAAGACTAATTTTGGCCTAGCCGTAGCTCTGATGTATGTTGTTACCCTTATCTGCATGCTACCGTCTCGGTCAAGCGTCCTCTCTCTCCTATTATTCGGTCCTCCTCGCTCCCGTCAAGTGACAGTGTCGTCGCCCGGCTCGCCCAGCAGTAGCAGCGGCAGCCACAGCCCCGCCGACACCATCAAGCACACCGGCTCCGTGTCGTCTATCCTGCGGCAGCCGGAGCGGGCGGCCTCGCCCAGAGGTACGGGGTTCTGTTCCCGGTAGGGACAGAGAGCAGATGCTCCTAGGGAATCTTCGACATTTTGGGATCTTTTGTGTTTACCCCTTCCATCATCCTAGAGAGATCCTTGAAGAAGCTCTCCACCAATCTCATTGCGTCTCCAGGACTAAGGAAATCCATTGTGTTACTTTTGTCTGTCCCCGTCAAGTGACGGTGTCGTCGCCCGGCTCGCCTAGAGGTACGGGGTTCTGTTCCCGGTAGGGACCTTCCTAGGGAAACTTCAAAAATTTTGGGGTCTTTTGTGTCTACCATCATTCCAGCCAGAGTGATCCCTGCATAAGCCCTTCACCAATCTCATCATCCGTCTCCAGGTCTGAGGAAATTCATATGAGTTTGACATTCCCAGAAGACTAATTTTGGCACGGCTAGGCTAGCTCTGATGTATGTTGTTACCCTTATCTGCATGCTAACGTCTCGGTCAAGCGTCATCTCTCTCCTACTATTCGGTCCTTCTCGCTCTCGTCAAGTGACGGTGTCGTCGCCCGGCTCGCCCAGCAGTAGCAGCGGCAGCCACAGCCCCGCCGACACCATCAAGCACACCGGCTCCGTGTCGTCTATCCTGCGGCAGCCGGAGCGGGCGGCCTCGCCCAGAGGTATGGGGTCCTGTTCTCGATAGGGACATTCCAAGGGAAACTTCAAAATTTTGAGGTCTACCCCTTCCATCATTCCAGAGTGATCCCTGAAAAAGCCCTTCACCAATCTCATCATGTCTCCAGGTCTGAGGAAATCCATATGAGTTTGACATTCCCAGAAGACTAATTTTGGCCTAACCGTAGCTCTGATGTATGTTGTTACCCTTACCTGCATGCTACCGTCTCGGTCAAGCGTCCTCTCTCTCCTATTATTCGGTCCTCCTCGCTCCCGTCAAGTGACGGTGTCGTCGCCCGGCTCGCCCAGCAGTAGCAGCGGCAGCCACAGCCCCGCCGACACCATCAAGCACACCGGCTCCGTGTCGTCTATCCTGCGGCAGCCGGAGCGGGCGGCCTCGCCCAGAGGTACGGGGTTCTGTTCCCGGTAGGGCCATTAGTAGGGTTCGTAGGGAAACTTCGAAATTTTGAGATCTTTGGTGTCTCCCTTCCATCATCCCTGAGTGGTCCTTAAAGGAGACTTTCACAAACCTTATCATGTCACCAGGTCTGAGGAACTCCATACTTGGGTTTGTCATTCCCAGAAAACTAATTTTAGTCTAGGCCATAGCTCTAATTTATGGTGTTCTGTTCTCGATAGGGACTGACAATGAGCAGCTGCGCTGCTCCTAGGGATGACGATTACGAAATTTTGGGACCTTTCGTTTCTACCCATTCTATCATCCCTCTGTAGTTCCTAATGAAGCCCTCCACCAATCTCATCGTCTCCTAGTCTGAGGAAATTAATTTGGGTAAAGAAGACTAATTTTGGTTTAGGCCATTGCTCTGTATTCGCACAGAAAATATCGTATGGTGTCACTCTTCTCCATATGCTACTGTCGTTGACTCTGTCCAGCATAGAATTTTGTCGGCCAGACAATCTGGCGTCACACAGTACTGAGGTGCTAGTCCCAGTGAAAGTACAGTCAAGAGACATAGTGGTTACTATGCCTCGCCCGGCAGTAGGATCGTACCGTAAAACAGCCAGCTCTGGACCTCTCTCCTGTGGCAGCTGGAGCGTGCATGTTTATAAGATAATTCTAACTATTGGAGTATAATATCTTTCTGGTTGTTGATGCTGCTTGTACTGTAACAATAGCTTCCTAACAATCAGAGCGGGAGTGTCGGAGATGTACCTCAACGAGTATCACATGATGAATATTGCTACCACTGCTGCACTGGTCTGGTCACAAGCCTCAATTCAATCAAGTGACGGTGTTCTCGCCAGGCTCGCGTAGCAGTAGCTCCGACAGTCACGGCACCGCAGTCACCGTAATATTCAACGGCCCCGTGCCTCCTAAGTAACGCAGCCGGAGCAGGCAGCCTCACTGAGAGGTACCATCCCGTATATTTGAGTCACATGTTGTCACTACTGAAGTATGTCTTCCTCGCTGCGGCTTCCCATGAGAACTTTCGTTTCATAACGCTGCTGCACTAACAGTAGATTTGGTAACCCGGCCCTGCAGGCACCAGGTGTCGTCCAGTATTCACACATAACACCAATAGGTCATGCGTAATGGGATAACAGTTGGAGAATAACTTTAACAGTAGATTTGTCACAGTCTCGTGGACACTGTCATGGTTGATCCTTCACCAATTACCTCATTACTGAAGCGCTAACGTCTAGTGAGAGTTTGTCCAGTCCCGCAGGCACTATCAAATACACCAGTATTTTGTTTTCGTCAGACCATGTCTCTGCTTTTTGCCCACATCAGACTTTCACGACAAGCAAGTCATCAAGGTTGTTCTAACACTGGATTACGTCATGATTTTCACACGAGCACTCGGGTACACAGGTAGCGGTTCACCGCGCAGCAGCGGCTCGCCGCGCGCGTCGCCGCGTGACTCCCCGCGCGCGCACACGCCGCGTGAGAACACGTCGCGCGCGACGACCCCGCGTGACAACACGCCGCGCGAGAACACGCCGCGTGAGTCGCCGCGCGCCGCCATCCCCGGCACGTCGGCCGGGCTGGCCGTGACGCTCAACTCGGCCGGCGCGCTCAGCCCGCGCTTCAGCTCCACCAACCCCTTCCTGCAGCAGTACGACGCCGAGGAGGAGGCCGAGGCCTGGCGCGCCGCCGACATATTCTCCTCCGCGCACACATAGTGCTCATAGCGAATTGAGATTTTCTAGTCAATTTTTTTAATCGAATCGAAAGAGTGCTACGATTCCGCTGTATATTATGTTATTTAACGAGCGTGGTGCGCGCTCGTGTAATTGTTATATATAGAGCGAGTTATGATGTATATTATTGTGTGAATGTATACCTGCTGACGCGCGAGGCGCACGCCTCCCGCCCGCCGCCGCCCCGCCCCGTAGCCACTATAGTGTTTATGATATTGTATTGTACATTGTATATAAATATGTAGGTACGCTCCAGTTTTGTACCGTTCGGGCGAGGCCCGGCGGGCGGCCGCGGCGCTACACACATCATCCCACATATCAGAGACTTGCGTACGCTATCGACACGGCAGCGGGCACACAACGCGAATCCATTCTCATAGCTGCATGTGTATATCTATGACGTTGTATAGAAGCAATATTTAAACTATATGAGAGCTAGAATGACTTAAACAATAAATAGAGTATTTATCTTCACAAATCGATCTCTCAGAACGATCTTATGATTATTACATTACGACTTAGAAGTAAATAGACGTCCACAAGGTCCGTGTGTCGACAGCGGACTCAAGCCAGTAGCTCGACTAGGGAGAGTGTATCATAGATCAGACGTACGGACTGTCTTGAGACTGAGACCATATCAGAGTAGCTCGTAGGCACCTCTCGCAGGGATCCGTCGTAGAAGGAGCGATTACGTCACGACTGCGCAGGAGTTCGCGACCTGTTGGAACGAACATTAAACATATTCTAAATAATCCTTGTTCATTAATAACTTAATAAATATATAACGATATATAAAATAATAATAGTGTTAGTGGAGCATTTTTACGAGTCGCTAATTCTATGAAGGGATGGAGTATTTACCCGTTGAGATCGGTCGCAATCTCAAGATCAGAGGTGCTGTGTTTGGGTTTGGAATATTTGGGACCTTAGTAAATGATAATAAAGTAAGTATATAATAATATCGATGCGCTCGAGCACTGAAAGTCAGAGCGTTCAAAAACCAATAACTTACGAATCAAATCTTAGATTGAAAATAATCATAAAATAAATTATACGATTTGAATTGACGACAAGAGCAAACTTTATTGGTATTTCCTAAGGGTTTATGCTTGAGGGTTAAAGGATTGAATGGTACAGGGATTCTAAACTCCGAAAACACCACCTCAGTTCTATAACTAGCGTCTGCTAGACATATAAGAGTGGGTGAAATCGACCAATGACAGCACTGACCGTACCCTTCACTGCCATGATTGGTCCATTTATTATAGAAAACATATATTATACACTTGTTTATATGTCTGTCGGAGGCTACACGGTTACTATAATATTACTTTTGAGCGACACTTCAAGACGAAATTTTGTTATTTAATGTCTACTGTTTATAGATTTGCACAAATAACACGACTGATATGGGACACAAAAAGTTTTTGATATTTTTACTTTTGTACTTGTTCCTGGTTTGTAACGATAAATAGAGTTATGTTGAGAACCTCGCCTTTAATGTACCTCTAACTGTTCATATCTGCTCACGAATTTCATGTGTGTAGGAGTTTTATAACCAATACTTATACGAGTTTGTCATTCTGAATCATTGTTTCGCAAGGGCTTTTATAATCACTTATTATGTTATTCATAAAGATGAAGTTCGTGTTCAGATAGCGCCTATACAAAACCCTTTATGGAGTCGTTACATTCGGTGATAATATGTAGCGATAATTTTAATCCATCGTGAGTATTGAGAGCGTCTTCGTAAAGATTTTGTGAAAACTCGTTCACTATCTTCAGGATAAAAATATCTGCTCTACATTTTTGAATGCCAAGGGCAACTTACGCTGTTTAAAAGTTTTAATATTAGCTTTCAAGTACTTTGCTATAATGGTTTATACTATACCTACAATCGTTATTCCCAGTTAAAAGCAGATATTTTATTTCCCTATGATAGTAATCGTGACTAGACAATATAGGATTACCTACTGTGGTTGAGATGATGTATTTTCAAATATAAATAACTATTAAGATCAAAAACATTAAAATTATATACCTGGTAAAATTATATAGCATTCTAATATTACTACCATCATCTCGCCCACACTATGATAACGTAAGACTTGAATTGTCGCTCGACAGTCGGTAGCCGGCCGCGTGTAGCGGTAGTAGCGGCAGTGTAGTTATAAAACTACCGCGCCCGTAAAAACGACTAACATAGTTACGAAACTACAATAACCTTCGCAGCGGAGACGTAGTAAGAAAGTTTAACCATCGTTATAAGAGCTACATGTAATAGAAAACAAGCGAACTTGCGTTTCTATACTACGAAACTACGAATCCGTCGTAGTTGGTACTGTAGCTACGAAACTCGTAGCCGTTGTAGCGGGGGTCGTAGTTTGATGACTATAGCGCCTGAGTAGTGTGTAGTGACTACGGCGCACGGCTTCAGTTGGCTTCATTTCGGCACTAACTTTGAGGGATCACCACTTGACTGTTATGAAGTAGTTGATAGATTGTTTCTATTAAGACTATGCTGAACGGATTTAGGCAGCGAATACGAAAGATTTGCGGCTGGTGATGAATGTATCATCGAGATTCGCTTAATAGAATAACGAATGTTTTGTAGCCCATATAGTTGTGTTTTTATTCGTTGACGAGAATTTTATTAAAAGACCATTTGGATAAAAAAACAAGAAATGGCCTAAATCAGTGAGTCAGTAGCTATCTGTTTCTTTTCAATGTATCTATTTTGTAGACAATCAGACAGTGATCAAGAACAAGAATCAAAAACTGAAATGTACACTTAAAATGCAGATAACACATAGATTAAGATGATTTGGATGAAATAGTTTTAATTATTTCAAGTGTAAGGTGATAACGATTTTCTATGATTAAACGAATGATAAACTTTTAATTTGTATTAAAAATCTTTCGTCTTCGGGCTCAAATTGTCTAAATCCGTTTAGCTATTTCTTTGTTGAGATCCTATCTGATGTTTCTATTGTATACAAAATGCTATAGAAGTTTCTTGTTGTAAGTGACTGGAATTTGATTGTTTTATCTTTACTATTTGATATCATTATAAATAAATGATGTATAATATTAATATCTGTTGTACAGAATCTGAATAAACACTTTGTATTTGTGTGGAAAGGTCGGCTGAAATTATACTCCAACTTAGAATTTACCTTCCAACTCAATTAATGGAACGGTTTGTAAAAATAAAGGGATTACAGTCTATGAGATAATGTAATCTATTATGAAACTTGATGTCTAATAAAATTAGACTTGTAACTTTTTAATGATAAAGTTTAAATTATGAAAACAATATCCATTCTTATTTCATTAGATATCAAGTAATGCTAATGGGCTGTACATTACTTTCAGTAACAATATTATGAAATCCATTAACGCTGTTATTTATGATCTTCATATTATGTCTAGCCTAATTGACAATGAAACTTTATGTAAATATTATGTGTAGTAGAATATTTAAGAAATCTAATTCTCCTTTGTGATGTGATCGGCCGACCTGAGTCCTATTTATTTGAATTCTGGATTCGTCGTTTTGTGTCGACGCACAACCGATGACGGTTTAGCAATGTAGGATGGATTATATGGAATTTGTTAATTTGTAAAGACTATAGAATTTATGAGGTGTAGTTAATGTGTTAATGTTAGATATGATTGGTGAGCGAGTGTTTGCCTCTCAGAGTTTCTGCCGCTGTACGTTTGCGTTGCTGGGCACCGGGCCCAAGGTAATATCAGTATTTCGAAATTTGGTAAAGTAGCGTTACTACATACGTGTACTTAACGTAACAGTAATGGCCGCTCGTATCTGTACCGGGCGGCTGGAACACAGACAAAATAAATAATACGACGTTATTCCACATTGTTTTACTTGAACACCTATCCTTTTCCAATTCCATATAATAATAATAAACCCTTGTACGAAATAAATACGTTGTGAATCTTCAAAGAATGATATCAAGCCACGACGGGCCATGTCTCTACTTAACAATAGTATAATTGAAATTAATGCCTTTCGATAAAGCTTATAGAATATTGCATGTCATATCAAGTGGGGACAGAAGTCATAAAAATATTCTAAGGCCCTTTATGAATGACATAATCATCTTGACTAAAGCAAGGCAATTGACTTTAGGTAACTTAGGTATTGGTAGAGAAATTATTTACGAAGATTGATAAGTTTTAGGTGCGTGTACTTTGCATCCTTTCAAATTTGTTATTATAGATTTTTATTAATTAATAGCCCATAAAACATTAATAAAATAGGTAAATTTATGTCAATCTACCCTTGTTATGGTCTAATAAAAACACACTGACAAACGCCGTTTACTTACATTGCCTGCTCGGATACACTCACACCTTAAATTACATTTATTCGCAAGCAAACTCATAAGCGGTCCTATTACTCAAAGAGGTAATTCTTTACGTTTTCATACGTAGTAGGAGCCCATTTTTCTCTGTCAGAAATTGTGTAATATTTATAAAAGCCCCGACACAGTAATTCCGTTTAGAACCGGCTCACTGATGCGACGGCATCCGGCCTCCTAGCTCCAGGAGATAGGCAATCACATAATATCAGAAGTTGCGAGGGGATTCAAAAGAAAATGGGATCGTACAAACGTACCTATTGCTTTTCCGTAAACTCTTCTTAGCTTATTTTTGTTAACAATTCACTTATCTGTTATTATTATTTACTAGGGCTGGGTTGCACCATCTTACTTTAACTTTGACAAACGTTCAAACTCCATACAAAAAGCACCGGTTATCGTCATAGTTACCGTTAAAGTTAGGTGGTGCAACTCAGCCTTAGTATTGTGATGTGGCTAGTAGGTAAGTATTTGTAAAGTTATTTTATTCTTGCAAGCGCTTAGATATTGACTAAAATTAAGTAACTATTCTTTGGGCTGAAAATCCATGGTTACTAAATTTAGTTTAGAAACACTTTTTAACTGTTCATTTCAAGTATTTACAATCAAAACACAATATCAAAGACCAAATTCATAAAAAAGTCTATGAAAATTGAAAAGTGAACATCGTTCCCTAGACTATGCTTTCTCGAGTAAATCGAAATGAAATTCGCTTTCTTTGGGTGCCCGAGCGAAGGATGACGATTTATACGCTCGAGCCAAAGGGTAGGTAATTGAAAAGAGTGCGCACGTAGGCATTTTTGTAAGCATGATTTGGTAAAGTGGATTAAAATTCCGAAAGTCTTTTCTAGTTCTGAATTTGCTTTTCAGCTGTATATTTCATGGGAACTTTGTAAAAGAAATTGGAAGTAACTCCAAGTTATTGCGAATATTTAGTAAAGTCAGTTAGCAGCAATATTTATGCTGAAACACGATTTAATTCCAAGTACAGCTTCATTTCAATATACACCAATCGCGATGCAGAATCTATTATGAGTGAATGATTTTGAATGAGTTATCAAAAAGAACTGAAAAAAATACTTATTAGAACCATTCATATGTATCTTTTTCAGTTCTTTTTGATATTCATAAAACTTCTTTATTGCAAGAGGTTGTAATAGAAATAACAGCTAAGTTTATGGCTTTTAAATTGGTATTACCAATATCATAAAATTCACGTCATGAATACATTAAAAATTGAGTCCCCAAACACTCATTTATCTCTTTGAGTTGAAAATAGCACAAGTGAATCTCAAACATTCTACAGGATAACGGTAACGGTAGGTGGGCGGACTTAAACTTTAGTTAAGCTTAACTTTTAGTTACTGATTTACAATGGCGTTCAGTTTACTGAGATGCTATGTAGTACTTTGCTTGAGTTAAAAGTTTTGCTTAACATCCATTGACTTTTTAATTGAGAGTAACTTACTTAGGTACTTACATAAATTAAAAAAATAATGTAACAACTTTTGAATTTCGGATCATCGGTATAAAACATTTTTATCTTCTTGTAAGGGATTGCCTTACGAAAATTATGCCTAATTACATATTATGTGTTAGTATTAGTTAATATTATATGTCGTATTATTTAGGTAATAGAAAAGATAGAACCAAGATATCTTATTCAATTGTTTGAATATTTGCGTTATTTCGATGCACATTGTACTCGTATATTAGGGTATATTGAAGGGTTATATACGACCATCGGTCCTCGTATTTTCGTTGCCCGACATGAAATATGGTTGTTCAGCGATTAAAATGGGAATATTGTGAGACTCACGCTCATCATCAATCAAGCGGAGTATTATTACGTCCTAAAGGTACTTTAATAGCGAGCTGTTTGCACTCAGTTAATAAATCATTTGTAACGGTAATTATACTGCGTCCTAGGACGTCGAGGGAATATGAAAAAATCAATCAGTTGCTCCATTAATATTATTGGTTAGAAGTATATTGGAAAAAACTTTTTTGTATTTTCATGGAATTTATGACCAGAGCAATTGTTCTTGAATTAATTTCAAGGCGAATATCAACAAAGAAGCACTTTACGTAATGAGTCAGTTCCTTGCCAATTTCTTTTTTGGTTGAATTTTATCAAAGCTTGTTGGCAGGTTTAACCCGAAAAATAAAAACGTATTCAGCTTAATTATGAAGAGTAAAATATGCGCTGGGATCTAAGGACACCTCTGGCAGGTATGCCAAAAATGAGGAAGCAGAGGGCCGACAAAAATTACTGCGTACTTTACGCAGCCGGTAGGGGCTCGGACACGTTTTTAATTAATATCTCATGAAAAATGCCTTCCATCACGATTTGAGTGGCATACTAATTTCATTTTTGAATATAAAGTACTTGTTTTATGAATATTAAAACCTTTCTTTCCGACGTGAACGTCACTTTCTTTTGCAATCACGGAGTTCTTCTGAGAAAAAGTTGCAATACTTAATTAAAGGCAGGTGTTTATGGCACCGATCAGGAGGTGAACTTAAATAGAGCTTAGTGCGCCTTTGTAGGCTCCAATCTCGCCTTGAGATATTGACTGGATCAATTCAGATGAAATTTTCATTAGTAGATAGCTGATATTAAAAATAACTTAGGCTACTTTCATTTTAGAAAAATAATCCAGCATTTAATTTCAATATTAAATGGGTAAATCTAATACTGGGATGAAAAATGAAGGTAGGTTAGTTCTCTCTGCGATTTGCAAATTCTAACGGTGCGCTTTGGACTAGTGAAGTCATAAATAAACGTAGGTACTGATATTATTACTCTGCTGTGAAGTGCTGTAATGCTCTGCTAATTACGGATGTATTAGTGTTGTGCTAGAATATGTACCTAATATGTGTATGTGATACATTTTGAAGATATTTATTCCGGGAATCTCTCTTGATCGGTCGGAGTCGGTGATCGGCGGTGTGCTCGTGAACTCTTCGGCTGCAGTTTTTTTGGACTTTGTCATGGTAAGTCTTTATTCCTTAAAGTTTTATCGGAATTCGTTCCAAGAAAAAGCTATAAAATTTTTCCACTTCAGCTCAGACGTCGTGATAGAGCTAATTTTCAACCGACTTCAAAAAAAGGAGGAGGTTCTCAATTCGACCCGTATGTTTTTTTTTTCTATGTTTGTTACGCGATAACTCCGCCAATTATGAACCGATTTGAACAAATATTTTTTCAGCGTATAGGTAATACCTCAAGGGTGGTCCCATTTAAATTTAATAATAAAAAAAACAACCCCCAAGGGTGGAAAATTGGGGATGAACTTTTTTATACGCAATATCTCCGCCGATTATAAACCAATTAGAACGATTACTTTTTTGTTGAATAGGTATTATCAAAAGGGTGGTTTCATGCGAATTTGAAGAAAATATTTCACCCCCAAGGGTGGAAAATTGGGGATGAACTTTTTTATAATATGGTCTCAATGTACTGCCTACCTTCAGAGGTAACATCAAGGTAATAATTAGTCAACTAAAAAGCAAGAAATAAGTTAAATTTTATAAAAAAAAAAAAAACCGACTCCAAAAAACCTTCACTAAAAAGTAGAAAAATAATTACTTATTACCTACTTATTTATTAGGACGAATTATTAATATTTATGTAGGTATACCATGATTGATACTTTTGGAGTCGGTGCAGGCAAACTTTACATGTTTCATAATCTTGGCACCGACTCCAGAAGTATCAATCATGGTATACCTACATAAATATTAATAATTCGTCCTAATAAATAAGTAGGTAATAAGTAATTATTTTTCTACTTTTTAGTGTAGGTTTTTTGGAGTCGGTTTTTTTTTAGCATGTACTTAATTAAAATCGTTTTTACTAGCATTTCTAAGGGACGTCATTTTATCAGCGGAAATTAGAACCACAAGACTAATCTCGATGTCTGATACCGTTTAAATGTGATTTGGTTACTGACTGGTGATTGGTCGCCGCTGTGGTCGCGATCCAAGTTATCTGCTTCAATATCCGACGGATCTACTGATATAGAACCATACATAACGTATACCAATCGTAAATCCACGCGTACGAAGTCGCGGGCGGCCGCTAGTAGAAATATAAAATGTTAAGGCAATTTAATTCATGCCTCTTGGAGATATTCTTGGCGACGCTAGCCCGGAGTAATATATCACTAAGTGCCATAAAATCAATTCAATGGAAGAGCTATTATTTTCAAGTACGCCTCCATCCCGCGATTGCCTTTTACTCCAATTAATGGAACGATTAATTGTCAGGCAAATGGCAGTTTAATTGATCAAAGTTTGGAACACTGATATCTCACTTATCACAAATAAAGCTGTCGCATATATACTCGTTTA